ACAATTCACCTGTTTAAAGGATATAATTCAATGGATTTTGGTATATTTATAGATATTTGCAACTATCACCACAGTCAATTTTAAAACATTTTCATCTTCTCTAAAAGAAATCCTATCCCTTTGCTCTCATTTGCCTATCCCTCCCCACGATCCTACCCATTCTTAAGCAACCACTAATCTACTTTCTATCTCTCCAGAGTTGCCTTTTCTGGACATTCTGTATCAATGGAATCTTGTGACAAGCTTCTTTCACTTCACATAACACTCCCAAAATTCATCCTCACTGTAGCATGGTGCAGTACATTTCATTTCTTTTTATGACCAAATAATATTGTGCCTTATGGACACACCACACTTTGTTCACCCATTCATCAGCTGATGAACATTTGGGTTGTTTCCCCGTTTTGGCTAAATGCAGCTATACACTTTCACGTACAAGTTTTTCTATGGACATATGCTTCAAATTCTCCTGGGCACACATACCCAGGAGCGGAAATGCTGGGTCATGTGGTAACTCTATTTAACATGTGAGGAACCACCAGACTATTATCTAAGGCTGCACTATTCCCACCAGCAGTGTATAAAGGCTCCAGTTCCTCTACATCCTTACTCACACTTATTACTCTGACTTTTTGATTCTCTGTATTATTTTCATAACTTCCTGTGAATATATGATTATTTCAAAGTAAATAGTTAAAAATATGATTCCATATATCTCGTTAAAAGATATGCAATCACAAGAAGTGATAAGTTTTTTCATTTCCTAAATTTATGTTTTTAAAAAATGTTTACGCCTTACTGTACTTCCTAGAACTTCCAAAACAATGTTAAAGGGGCACTTGTTCTGAGTCCAATTTTTATAGATTTCTCTCTAGCATTTCTCTGTTAAGTAGGATACTGATGATAGGTTTAAAACATTCTATCATGTTGAAGAAGAACACTTCCATTCCAGCATTTTAAAGGCATTTTTATAACGAGTAGGTGAATTTTATCAAACACCTTAGTGGCTTTAGATAAAATCATTTTACATCATGCCATCTTTTCCAGCTTTATTTGGACACAATTGACACAGAACACTGTGTAAGTTAGGATGCACAATGTGATGACTTGATATATGTTTGCATTGAGGAGTAATTACCTAAATAAGGTTAACACACTTTCACCTCACATAATTACCTTGTTTTGATTGTTATGATGAGAATATTTAAGATTTACTCCCTTAGCAAATCTCAAGTATATACTACAGTATTGTTAACTATAGTCACCATGCTGTACTTTATCCTCAGAAGGTATTCTTAAAACTCCAAGTCTGTGTGCTTTGACCACCATCTCATGACCCCCCACCCCAGCAAACTCTCATTGACTCCATTTCTGTGAGATAGGTTTTGAAAATTCCACATATAAGTCAGAGCAGAAATGGCAGGAATTCCTCTCTAACAGTTGAATAATTTTCCACTGTATTTACCTACCACATTTTCTTTATTCATCTGCTGATGGACAGTTAGACTGTTTCCATGTCTTGGCTATTATAATCATGGTGAAAAGAACACGGAAGTAGAGATATTTCTTCAAGATCGTGATTTCATTTCCTTTGGATTTATACCCAGAGGTGAGATTGCCAGATCATATGGTAGTTCTATTTTTCAATTCTTGAGGGTCCTCCACATTGTTTTCCATAGTGGCTGCAAGAATTCACATTTCTACCAACAGTGCAGTTTTCTCCACATCCTTGCTAACATCTGTTTTCTCTTTGGTCTTTTTTATAAAAAAGGTATGAGGTGATATCTCACTGTGGTTTTGATTTGCATTTCCCTGATGTTTAGTGATGTTGAACCCCTTTTCCTGTACCTGTTGACCACCTGAATATTCTCTTTGGGAAAATGTCTACCAATGTCCTTTGACCATTTTTTAATTGGATGATTTGTTATTATTATTATTATTATTATTATTGCTATGGAGTTATAAAAGTTGCTTACGTATTTTGGATATTCACCCCTTACCAAATATATGGTTTGCAATCATTTTCTCCCATTCTCTAGGTTGTCTTTTTCCTTTGTGACTGTTTTTGATGTGCACAAGCATTTTAGTTTGATGTAGCCTGACTTGTTTATTTCTGCTTTTGTTGCTTGTGCTTTTGATGTCACATCCAAAAAATCATTGCCTAGAACCATGTCAAGGAATTTATCGCCAATGTTTTGTTCTAACAGTTTTATGGTTTTGGGTCTTACACTTAAGTCCTTAATCCATTTTGAGTTAATTTTTGTGAGTGGTGTAAGTTTCGTTGAATCTATAGATGGTTTTGAATAGTATGGACATTTTAATAATAACTTCTAATCCATGAACAGAGGATATCTGTCCATTTGTTTGTGTCTTCTTCAATTTCTTTCATCACTTTCTTAACGTTTTTAGCTTATACATCTTTCACTTCCTTGGCTAAATTTATTCCTAGGTATTTTATTATTTGTGATGCTATTGTAAGTGGTATGGTTTTCTACATTCTTTTTCCAGACAGTTGAATGTATATGATGTCCTATTTGACCTGTTGATCTGATTTACCAGGTTCGTCAATTCTTAACATTGCAATATTCCTAAATTCCCAGCTTACTGCTTTTAAAGTAGGGCAAACTATGGTCAAGTAAACTCTACCAAAATCAATTTAAAAATAAAATGTATACTACACAGGACCAGTGAACAAAAAATGTAAGTGAGCACTGTGTGCACTTTTATCAAGTGACAAAAAATAAAGGAATAAAAAATCTGAACGTCTAATATGTATGTGAAAGTTGTCAGGGCTGCCTACCCTCTGACCCTGGCCTTCCTTCAAAGAGATGTAATTTTAAAAAAATAAATAAAAAGGAAGAAAGGAAGGGAAAAAGGTAAGAAGGAAGGAAATTTGTATTACTTTCTTACTTTGCCTTAAACACTTGTGTAAAAGAAGAGTGTTCATTTGACCAAACTTGCCAGACCTCGTACAGCCGGAAGATCCGTGTTCTAGCTCTGATTATCCTACCAGCCATGGACAGATTCTTCCCAGGCTCTCAATCATCTTCAGAGAACAAATATCATTTTTCTGGTACTTGCTATTCCATTTCTCTTCTTAATAACATGTAGCTTGCTGTGTGTTATGTATTTTCCTAAATTTACTGACTATATGCACTTCACTGAAACTCTGTGTGAAGTCTGTTGGTATTAATGGAAAACAATATGAATTCAAGAGATAAATTTCATACATGAAGGGCCAAAGAAAAACTCAAAAAATAAAAAACACATGGAAGCCGATGCCAGTATCATTGGACATGCTGAAAAATATTTAGTCTTTGTGTAGTGTTAGAGCTCATCAGAATAGTAAATATAAAGTATTTTTTTCTTCTAAAACAAGCAGATCTTGTGGGTGGGGGTATAGCTCAGTGGTAGAGCGTGTGCTTAGCATGCATGAGGTCCTGGGTTCAATCTCCAGTACTTCTGTTTAAAAAAGAAAGAAAGGTATTTTTAAAAAAAACCCAAAAGACAAGCAGATCTCACCACATTCTCATGGTGAGGTGGGGGAGGTAGGAAGATGGTGAAAACATCCCAAATGGGGTCACTCTAGCTAAGGCAGCACAGCCTAGTGGCTGGGGACACAGACGTTTAAGTCAGAGAGACTTGAATTCAAGTCTCAGCATCTCCAGTTACAAGGCTTATGACCTCAGCTGAGTCATTTGATCTTTCTGAGCCTCTTTTCTCATTTATAAAAGGAAGACAATACTAGTAGTTCTGCCATTAGGGTGCTGACAGATTTGAATAAGAGATGCCTTATATGCATAATTGTTTACTAAATGGGAAACACTGATTAGTAATGGGAAATGGAGTCCTTACCTAGAACATCATCAGCAGCACCATTCAAAAATTAAGAGTTTAAAACTCACACTAAATATGAAAAACTCAATTTCTATTTTTTTTTTAAAACCAAGTGATTCACTTCTGCTTTCTTTATTTGCAAAGGTCCCAGCATTTTCAGGTATAAAACTGAGAGCAGTTTGAAGAAACGAATCAGCACGAAGCATACGCCTCTTTTCCGTGTAACCTCTCTCTTCATCCTTGCCCCAAATGAAGTTGCTTCCTCCAGTGAGGAGTGGACTTAAGAAAATCTCCTCTATCGCCAAACATTCTAGTGCACAGCATAACTTCCTTGTGTTTCAGTTCTTTTTGGCTGTGTGGAAAGAAACCTCCTTGAACCACTCTGCCCCTGGCTTTCCAGCTTTGGTCCCTAGAAGCAGCTGCAACACAGCTGGTGACACTCCCTTGTGTCTCAAGCAGCCCAAGATACCTCATCACAAGGTGGAGCTTTCTCCAGGGCCAAGGGCAAGAGACAGGAGACCCGGAGTCACGGCACAGCAAGCGGAAATCGTGAAACACGTCAGATGGAGGACTAAACTCGAGGATGTGAGGTCAGGATGTTGAAACAGGGAAGGAAGCCGCTGGAGGGTTTCGTAGTTGACTCCAGAACACACCTTCTGCTTGCTCACAGGTTGGATTTCAAACACCCACCTCTGTCCTTCCAGTAGGAAGACAAACAATTCCCATGAAAACAGATCTGAAGGCCACAGAAAACCCCAAGACCCATCTGAAAGGATGCAAATGAGATGCCTACTGTAAAGACCACAGGAATTTGATCTGGTCTACAGTGGTCAACGACCTTCGCTTAGGCCAGGGCACTCCTGGTGATCTTCAGTGAAACATTCTTAGGGGAAAGTGCCAGCAAGTAAAAGGAAAGGCACTCCTCCGTGACTTCACCACAGTGACAGAGAGCAGTGCCAGGACACCGCTGTCCCGAGGCCTGCAGGGAGCCAGGCTCACTCACCAGCCTCACGCCTGTCCCACAGCTCAACTCAGGTCACCACTGGCCAGATGCTACATCTGCAAATGCTAGGGGTCTAGGGACAACACACCAAGCTTAGCAGCAAACACTTCAACAAAAGAGGCGGCGGAGGCAAACACCCTCTCCACCACGCCCAACTTACCTTCACCAAGAAGAAGGACACGCCGTACGTCCGCAGGGACCGGGCGAGTTTGACGTACTTGACCTTGGCTTCTATTTCGCTCATCTCTCCACAGCTCTTGTGCTCCTACAAAAGTGACAGTGGCAGGGACCAGTTACTGCAGCTCGGCCAGCAGGTGGACATGGTGAGAAGTAGTTACTATACATGGTGCCTCTACATTAAGGTTGGAGATTTTTTCAGAGACCTTCCCACGATACGTGTTGCTGCTGACCAAGAGTCAGAGCACACAGAAAGCTCTAAGGCAGGGTTTCTTAACTAGAATTTGAGTCCAAATTCCCTACAGATTGCATAATTATATGCAACAATTCATGTATGTGCAGCATGGCAAGAACGAGGTCCATAATTACAATCTAATATTCAAAGGGCTCCATGTCCCAAAAGGTTCAGGACGAACACTTTAAATGAGAACTAGAAAAATGTTCTTGTCCTGAGAGGCATCATTCTAACATCCACGCAAAGGATTAAATTCTCCAAAGAGCAGGATAAATAAATGTCAGAACATCTCAGTGTTTGAAAACCATAATGGATAAAAAGATCAATTCTATACTCACGAAATTTATATATTTCAACTTATATTTACATTTCAATACTAAACAAGACTTTGATATTTTGAATTCACTAGAGTGATTATTTCATGGCAAAATTGGTAATAGGACTTCTCTTACTGGTTGCTTAGAATAGATAACTCTCTGGATTTTAGAATAAACTTGGATTTTAAAGAGACACCAGTTCTCAAATTCTGAGGTTCAAAAAACAAATCTCAGGATAAAAAAGCTTCTTGTAGCTTCTTCCTCAGTGCATTTTAATGGCAAATCACCTTGTTTCAATGCTTCCAAGATTATGTCTTTGAAATTAAATATACACACATTTTTCTCAGAAGGGCTAAGTAACCTTTAGCAAGAAGGTATGGATTAAGAAAACAAATCTGCTCCAAGCAGAACTGTCAGCTTCTTTACTCTTGAGTCACTAATCATTTATTATATAAGCAGAGTATATACACAGGGTACGAAACTATCACGAGCAGAGGCCCCTCTTTTCCTAATAAATGAAGAAAGGAAGTGAGAATGACCAAGTTTTATACATTTCCAATACCTGAAATATTCTCTTTTCAGCTCCTCTCTGCTTAATGTATTCTTTGGGCAGGAATTCCTTCAGACTGAGAGAGAGAGAATCAAAAAAGGTAAGGCATTTCTCACACACTATGATGAGATGGAAAGAAAAGAGGCTTTTTGTAAAAAACTCACAGTGAAGTCACAAACTCTCAGTATTTTATGGTCTAATTAATAAGAGCCACATCCCACAGTGCACTTAAATAGGACCCAAATATAAAAAACCAGGCTGATAAAAAGGGTCAATCTGACATAGTTAAAGAAGAAAGAACATCTGACATATATTGTAAAACGACAAAGCAAAGCACCCAAGAGTGTAGAGTGCGCTATCCTTTGTGATAAATGGAGGGAAATATCCATTTTGTATTGTTAATATGTATTTCTAGAACAACAGAAGGATAAATGTAGTACTAACAAGAATGACTCTCCCTGGAAAGAAGGAAAAAGCAGAGAGAAGGGAACAGGGATGAAAATGACATCAAGGGATAACCAACGGCCAAATATGTGGTGATCTTTTAAACCTCATACAGAAGAAGAGAGAACAGTATAATGAACCCACCGCCCAGCTTGAACAATTGTAACTCATGGCCGTTCATGACTCATGTGCCCCCTCACCCACATCCCCTCTCCTGGATTATTTTGAAGCAAATTGCAGATATCATACATAATTAATTTCATGTGAGGGGCAATTTGAGCATCAGAAAAAATGATGACTGCAATGGGTAAAAACACAGATATATAAAATTCAATCTATATATAAGATACAATAAAGATTCTTTGAAATAATTATTGGTCACCTTAAGAGGCTGCTAGGGCACCAACTCATACTGAAACTGATAAAGAAACAAAGCTAATAAATGCAGAAGGAATAATACAAGTCCAAAATCATCATTTTACAATTCTTAATGAAATAGTCAATAGATCAAAACAAGCATGAGTGATGCTAAAACCAATAAGTGACAAGTTAATGGGGAACTTTGTAAGAGATGGATCAGTCTGATTTAAACCCACTGATCAATTTTAGTATTAATGAAAGTGGGGTAACCACACAACATACACCTTCTGACTAATATAATAGGAAGTATACAGTACGACCTAGGAAGTACTCTTGGAAATAAATTTAAAAATAAGTAAATACATAATTGAACAGGAATTTCATTAAGTCTCTAGATATAAATATTAGTTCACAAAAAGAGAGCTGGAGGAACATGGTAAGTGACACTACCAGGATATCAATGAGCCAAATCCCAACATGGTAAATTCTATAAAAATAACCCAGCTTCTTCACAAATAAATGGCTTGATGGTGGAGGTGAACAAGAGGACACACAAACAGATTTAAAAAGTTTTAAGAAACATATTTATCACACAGCTACGGCAACAAAGATGGTGTCCTACTGCCATAAGACTAGACATGGAGGTCAATGGAATAGAACTGAGAGTCCAGAAATTAACCCTTACCTTTACAGAAAACTGATTTTCAACAAGGGTGGGGAGAAACTTCAGTGGGAAAAGAGTCTTTTTTAACAAATGGTGCTGAGACAACTGGATACGCACATGCAAAACAATGAAGTTGGACCTCCAACCTCACACCAAACATACAAATTAACTCAAAATGGATCCAGACCTAAATGGAAGAGCTAAAACCTTAATACTTTTCGAAGAAAACGTAGGAGTAAATTTGTATGACCTTGGGTCAGGCAAAGAGTTTTAAGACACAAAAGCACATGCAGCAAAAGGAAAAATAAGTTGGACTATAGCAAAATAAAACAGCTTGAACTACAAATGAAACCATTAAGAAAGTGAAGAGGTAATCCACAGAATGGGAGAAAATATTTGCAAATTATGTATCTGATAAGGGACCTGTATCCAGAACATATAAAATCTCTCACAATGAAAGATATTAAAAAAAACAATTAAAAAATGGTCATAGGATCTGAATAGACATTTCTCCAAAGAAGATATAAAAATAGCCAAAAGCGCTTGAAAGTGTTCCCAAACAGCCATCAGGGAAACAAAGAAAAACCGCAGTACGACAGATACCACTGCCCATCCACTGGGCTGCTACAACACAAAGGACAGGCAACACGGGGTGCTGGTCCTCACCAGCGGGGGGACTGCAACCTCCACACACTGCCGGTGGGAATGCAAGGAGGCGCAGCTGTGGTGGATGACAATTCGGTAGTTCCTGAAAATGTTCAACAGCAGTTCTACTCCCAGGCATATGTCAAGGAAAAGTGAAAACCTCTGTCCACGTAAACACTCGTACGTGAACGTACGCAGCAGTAGTATTCATAATAGTCGAAAGATAGAAGCAACTCAAATGTCCATCAAGTGATGAATGGATGAATAAGACGTAGTTTAGTCATACAGTGCAACATTATTTGGCAGTGAAAGGGAATGAAGTATGATGCAACAACATGGAAACACAGTGCTACGTGAAAGGAATCCAATCGCAAAGGACCACAAGTTGTATGATTCTATTTAAATGAAACGTCCAGAACAGGCAAATCTATAGAGGCAGAAAGGATTAGACGTTGCAAAGGCTAAGGGGAAGGGAGAGGGGGAACCGGGCAGTGACTGTGCAGGACACAGGCTTTATTTTAGGAGGGACACAAATGTTCTAAAATTAGATTGGGGTGATGGCTGCATAGTCTTATGAATACACTGAAAAAAAACACTGAATCATACATTTTAAATGGGTCAGTGGTGTGGTATGTAAACTCTATCTCAAAGATTTTTTTCTATGAAAAAGAAACAGCAGTCACTGTAGGTGTTGTTGATACGAACTTAGTATAAACAAGGGGCAGGGGAGGAGCTAACACAGACTGGGTATTAGATGATGTTAGAGAATTGTTGCTAAGTTTGTCTAGTGTTAGGTTGGATCTGCGGTTAGGCAGGTTTTAAATTATTTAAAAATTTTTAATTGTCAGAAGAACATACTGAAGTACTTATGGGTGAAATGGTATGCCGTCTTGGATTTGCTTTACAACACTCCAGCCAAAAAGGGGGCGGGGGCAGGCCCAGGCTCTGGCTATATTAAGACGTGAATAATGATGTCTCGTCAACCTGCAGACTACCTCTGCAGACAAAAATTTTAAGTGCATTTTCTGGAATTTTAGGGATCTAGGTTTGAGCGCCAGCAGAACACTCTGGCCTTATCAAGAGACCCCCAAGTCAGTCAGCAGAAGGGGATCTAAGAGGTATCCAGGAAACAGCACCTGAGATGTTACAACTATTGTTCAGCAACTTCGGGGACACACACCTGTGACTGAGAGGGGACTGGGAGGCACTCATGTCACCGAAGAGGAAGCTGAGTCACAGAGAGGTGAAGTGACTTAGCTGAGGTCACAGGACCTGTGGGGAGCAGGGAGCCTCTGACCTCCAGACCAAGAGTGGAGCCACCTGAGCACACAGCTGTCTCAGGCTTCCCCTAGGAGCACACTTAAAATGACAATGAGGTAGCGTCACGGGGCCACTGCCGGGGGCCTGTGGACAGGAGCTCCCACGCCATCAACAAAGGAGACTGGGCAAAGGTTACCTAAAGCACCCCAAAAGGGCCCCAGGCCAAAGCCCCTCAGAACAATGACCGTTACTGGAAGAACAGCAGATGGCGGTGCCCAGTGGCCAGGCCACGGTAGAATATGTTGGGCATTTACGGTGACAAAGTTCTGTGTAGCTCAGCCTCTGCAAACTGACCCTCCCATTCTTTGGTGGGGACAGGACCAGTAGGTACAGAAAACAACTTCCAGAAAGCTTGCACAAGACCCTTGATGTTGCAAGAGTCAATCTAGGGGGGGTTTACTGAAAGGTATTTTCAAATAAGAAGTGTATGTATGTATGTGTGTGTGTGTATGCATGTGCACGTGTGTTTGTGTGTATGTTTGTGTGTGGAGTGTTATTTTTCCCCAGTAAATCAGCAAAGTGCACGGTGTCAGCATGAGGCTGGCTGGAGCGGGCAGCCTGTCATCACTGCCTGGCAGCCGGCGGTGCGGCAGTTCCAGCTCAGTTGCTTTTATGATTACCAAACCCGGGTACGGAAGGCGCTCAAGCATCTGGGGCAGGCATACGAGCGCAATCTGTCAGCCCTCTCTGAGAAAATGGGTCAGACTGTCAGCCCCGATTGGAAACTTTTCTCCTAATTAAGCAAGCTCTGGCGAAACAAAGTCCCTCCCACTGTCTCCTTAAATAGTCCCACCTTAAAAGGGCAGCCTCCAAACCCTCTGCCAGCCTCGGCAGCCTCGTAATATCTGAGTGCAGTCATCTCAGACCCTCCATGTCACTAAGACGGCAGACTAGTCAAATTTCTCCTCACACCCTACGGCCCACGAGAGCGTGAGATCTGCAGCCAGCAGACCCTTCTCTCCTGAGCTGCACCTGTGCTCTGGCCAAGTCGGCCGTGTTTCTTCCCCAAGCCTGCTGCTGGCCACATGTCACGTGATCATGCAGTAAACCAATGTAGCCCACAAACTGCTAAAATGGTACAAAGGGGAGCTGCAGAATACTTCCTAAACGTAGATATTTACAAAAAGCTATTAAATGAGATACAAGCGAGACACATGTGAAATACTGAAGAGAAAAAAATCTTGAATTTGTAAAAATATTCTGTCCTCAGATTGCTCCACGAGTGCCTTTATGTTCTCTAGTAGATGTCATTCATACAAGAGAATGTCTGCGTAACACCCAACCAGGTGACCCACACAAAGGAAAATCCTTGGTCATGTATCTAAAGACTGGCAAATGAGTGCCTAAGTTGAAAGTTTAAATATAAGATTTCAGAGAGGTAATATCATAGATTCTGTATTTTTTTAATGATTTTTCAGATTATCCAACCAACAGTAAACCATGTTGATAGAGGGTTTTCCACCTATTAATGGTGGCTGTTTATTGAAAGTCAAATACTAAATACTGTTTCAGGTGTTTTCTATGCATAGATAGAGAAACTAAATCCTGACAAAAGGTCTTGGAAGAAAATATCCCACCTTACATGTGGAGCATTAGGCTCAGTGACATTAAGTAAGTTGCTCAGTCACAGCCAACGATTGAAG